TCAAAGGTCCCTGCCTTTGAGCGCCGACGGCTGGTCTGTACTTGCCTGTGGTTTGGGGGGAATCTGGCGCTGGATTTTTGAATTCCCAAAGAATTCCAAATTATATGCAGAATGCTGAATCTTCTCCCCACCAGGACGAATCAGATAGTGCAGAAAAGTGGACTCCCGTGATTCTGGGATTGCATTTTGCAACGTGTCTCCTTGACCTTCATGCCAAGCCTCGGGTCGGAAGGGAGCTGGAGTCCCTGGCCAGCGCAGTAGGTGGAGAGGCTCCCCGGGCAGCCCCGCGCACCCCTGGCCATGTCGCCTTTCATGCCCTGCCCCTTATTGTGGCCTTCTGAGGGTTCCCAGGACCGGCCAGGGCTGTTTCCCACCCGCGCGCTCTCTCTCGCCCCCATCCAAGCCCAGCTGGCAGAGCTCCCTCAAGCCGAGAATTTCTGACTCCCTGCTCTCTCGCTCCCGCCTCCGCCCCCGCCCGGGGGTGGCCCTGGAGAGCCGGACCGACCTCGCCCGGCCCGGCCCGGGACCATGGTGTTTCTCTCCGGAAATGCTTCCGACAGCTCCAACTGCACCCACCCGCCCGCACCGGTGAACATTTCCAAGGCCATTCTGCTCGGGGTGATCTTGGGGGGCCTCATCCTTTTCGGGGTGCTGGGGAACATCCTGGTGATCCTCTCCGTAGCCTGTCACCGGCATCTGCACTCGGTCACCCACTACTACATCGTCAACCTGGCGGTGGCCGACCTCCTCCTCACCTCCACGGTGCTGCCCTTCTCCGCCATCTTCGAGGTCCTGGGCTACTGGGCCTTCGGCAGGGTCTTCTGCAACATCTGGGCGGCGGTGGACGTGCTGTGCTGCACCGCGTCCATCATGGGCCTGTGCATCATCTCCATCGACCGCTACATCGGCGTGAGCTACCCGCTGCGCTACCCCGCCATCGTCACCCAGAGGAGGGGTCTCATGGCCCTGCTGTGCGTCTGGGCGCTGTCCCTGGTCATCTCCATCGGGCCCCTGTTCGGCTGGAGGCAGCCGGCCCCCGAGGACGAGACCATCTGCCAGATCAACGAGGAGCCGGGCTACGTGCTGTTCTCGGCGCTGGGCTCCTTCTACGTGCCCCTGGCCATCATCCTGGTCATGTACTGCCGGGTCTACGTGGTGGCCAAGCGGGAAAGTCGCGGCCTCAAGTCCGGCCTCAAGACCGACAAGTCGGACTCGGAGCAAGTGACGCTCCGCATCCATCGGAAAAACGTCCCCGCGGGAGGCGGCGGCGTGGCCAGCGCCAAGAACAAGACGCACTTCTCCGTGAGGCTCCTCAAGTTTTCCCGGGAGAAGAAAGCGGCCAAAACTCTGGGCATCGTGGTCGGCTGCTTCGTCCTCTGCTGGCTGCCTTTTTTCCTGGTGATGCCCATTGGTGAGTCTTTACAACCTTATCTCGGTATTTAGAGATCTTCACCCAGTTCCCCTGCTGTGATCCCAGGCTTTGGGTCGGGACAGAGGATCTGCGTTTCAAACAGCGAAGCCCTGGGGCAGTTAGAAAAGGCTCTATGTAGACCTGTGAATTCCTATTCTCTTTCCACCCCGGTCTCATTTGCATTAGGTCCTGGGGCACTTTTTCAACTACCCGTAAAGTGGCTTTCAACTGATGCAGATTAATTGGTCTCCTTAATAAGAATGTCAACTTTCCTTAATGCCTTTTAGCATGCGTTTAATTTGAACGCATCTTCCCTTTCAAGACTCCATCTCCAAAGTGCTTAGGCAGACTGCCCGATGCCACTTTCTCTCTGCTACAGACTTCGAATTCTCTTGGCCTGAAAATGAGTACCATGCTTACCCTGGACAAATGTGTGATTTTATGATTACCTTAGATCATTCCTAAAAGTTTGCTATAATGGTCTACTTATGTTCTATATCTGTGTTAATTCTATTTTCTTTTCTGGATTCAGTATGGAAGGAATTATGGAAAGTTACTAACCAAAAAGAAAAAAATAATTTATGTCCAAACCAATTTAAGCCTTAAATAATTTATCGTAATGTTCCCAACAAGTAAATACTTATTCCTTTATTTTAACAGTAACTAACTGTTTAATAGTAACTGTTTAATAGTAACTAACAGTAACTATTAAAACAAACACCATTCTTGTCCAGAATCATCTGGGAAGTTGCAGATGACATTGTTTGAAAATAACACAGTGCATGTAATGCTACAAATCAAATTTTTACAGATGCTAAATTAGCTGTTGTCAAAACTAATTAGTTTATGATAAGTCTCAGCAAGCTGATCCACTAGCAATAGTCATCTGTCTCCGAAAGGCCTTCAGTGAGATCCCAAAATGGTTGTTTGCTATTTTTAGTTTGTACAGACCCACACATCGGTTATCCACTAACTCAAAAAAAAAAAAAAAGTCATGGTAAAAATTAATAAAAGTCCATTTCAGGTGCTTTAGAGTTAAATTTAAATGGCAGGTACTTTAATTTGCAATTCTGTAATAATAGCAACTATTATTTTTCGAGTGCCAACTATGTTCCAGATATTTTGCCAGGCTTTTTATTTCATTAGTCCTCTCAGTGACTCAGTGAGGTGTGCAAGATTACATGATTATCCTGCAATCACAAGTGGGGGAAGAGACTCTTCAGGTTCTGTATCCACCAGCCATATGAAGCTATTTAAATGTGAACTGAAGTTAAATAAAATTAGTATTTAGTTCCTCAGTCCCACTAGCCACCTTTCAAGTGCTCAATGGCCACATGTGGCCAGTAGCTACCATTCTGGACCACAGAGATTCAGATCGTTTCTATCACTGCAGAAATTTCCATCCATCAGGGCTTCTGGAGAGGCCCTTCTCTGCCCACCACCTGGCCTCCCACTGTACCTACCTGTCATCATCACTACCTCTGCTCCTGGAAGCACAGCACAGCTTTGAATTGCTTGGAACAACACTCCTTCCCCGAGCCCCTGCTTCCTTACTTTACTGCATCCCATCTCTGCCTCCTGACTTTGCACATTTGTTTGTGCATCTACTTACTCGACAAGTGTTTATGGAGCACTTGTTCTAGACGCATAGGATGAACAAGGCAGAAGAGTCTTTGCCAATGAGATGTTTGCATTGGGAGGAGACAGATGTAAACAAATTAGTATATCCTAAAAGTCAAGGATCAACAAGCGCTATCAAAAATTCAACAGGATAAGAGGCTAGAGAGTGATGAGGACAGTGGGGTGGGTTGTGAGGAGAGCACTGTCTACAGAGATGATATTTGAGCAGAGTCCTGTGAGACGTGGGAGGAAGAGCCCCATGGGCAGAGGGAACAGCCAGTATGGAGCGGGGAAAGATGGAGAAGGCCGGTATAGCTGAGCCACAGACAGCGAGGGGGAAGACAAGTTCGAAGAGATTGGGGAGATGGACAAGGCCAAAGTCCTGTGGGGTCTTGTGGGCCAGAGTAACATTTGCATATTATTCTAATTTGATGGGAAGCCATTGGAGGGTTTCAAGCAGATGAGTTAGGGGATTTTAGGGGATCATTCTGATTGTTGGGTGGAGAATGGACCGTTTGGGGGCTAGAGTGGAGACAGAAAGACCAGTTAAGAGGCTATTAGTGAAGCGGAAGGGAGAGAGGTCCTGATGCCTTGGACACAGGGGAGACAGGTGGAGGTGGTGAGAAGTGATCGTGTTCAGCACTTATTTCAGAGGCAGAGCTGACAAGTTTGGTCATCGGGTGTGAGACAAAGGAAGGTTTGGAGCCTGAACCTGGGTAAATAGTAGTGCATGTGACTGAGATTGGGTAAACCAGAGAGTTATAGAGTTGGAAGGGGCGGCGGTGGGGGGGTGGGGAGAATTAGGAGCATTTATTTGGCACACGCTATGTTGAGAAGTGTCTGTTAGACATCTAAGCAGGGATGCTGAGTAGGCAGATCAATACTGTGTATGAATTTGGAGCTTAGAGGAGAAGGTGGGCTATGGATATAAACTTGGGGCATATGAACATTTTTAGAGCCACAGGAATGGAGAGATCTACAAGAGAGAAGGTATGAGAGAAAAGACATAAGAACTGAGCCTTGGGGCATTCTCATACCTGGTGTCAGGAAAAGAGATAGAGAAGGAGTGGCCTGGGAGGTAGGAGGAAAATCAGGAGAGTGTGTCGTCCCCCAAGCCTACAGAAAACGTTTCAAGAAGGCAGCAGTAATCAACTGGGTCACACGCAGCGGCCAGGCAAGTAGAGCAGGACCGGGACCCAACCTGCTTTGGCAGTAAGGAGCTCCTTAGTGGACGAGAAGGTCATGTGAGGCTAAGAGCTTCGGTGGAGTGATGGAAACAATAGCCCGATTGTGCACTTTCTGGAGAGAACAAGACGAAAAAGTGGGAACAGGGAAAATAGACGACTCTTGTGACAAGTGTCACCAGACAGTGGAGCTAGGATGTGCGATGTAGCTGGAGGGACAGACAGAGAGTTTGCAAAGGTGGGAGGTGGAGACGGAGCATCGTATTTATGTTCTGATGGGAAGGATGGAACAGAGAGAGACAAGATGGTGTAGGCAAGAGAGGAGATGGGATTCAGTGCCCAACAGGAGCGTCAGGAAGTGACAGAGAAGGCAAGGCATATGAGCCCCCAGGCAGGTGGCAATGGAGGGAGAGAGAGAGAGAGATGTCTTGAGGATATTTTTATGTCCTGAGTGAAATCAGAAACAAAATGGCAGGTAAGAGTGAGGAAGGAGTAGGGAAGGATGGCAATTTGAGGAGTGAAGAAAAGATGGGAGCTACTTGTCATTGAGAGTGGAGAGTAAATGTGTTATGGAAATGTAGTAGAGTCACTAGTCCTGAGGGCCTGTTTGAGATTTTACAGGCAGAACTTTAGAGCGGTCAAGAAGATTGTGTGCTGCTCTCCAACAGCTGCGGGATACGTGGGCGTTGGTGATGACGGGCTGAGTCCCAGATGGTGTGGGGAAGACAGTGGTTTGTGAAGGGACACAGACTGGATCAGATTAGGGATCACACAGAGCCAGGCCGGGGAAAGAGCCCAGGGGATGATCGACGGCCTGGGAGTTGGGACTTGTGGTGGTGACAGCCATACAGGGGGTTGGGGCATGATGGCTCGGGTCCTGGTGTCCTCCAGGGGAAGGTGGGTGCTCTGGTCTCTGGCAGTTAGTAAAATTGAGGTGTAGACATTAGGGTGGAGGGAAGTGTGGTAGACAGGAGCCCTCGGAATCATTGGGATTCCTTTAAATCCCGATCAAGCGCTGTGACGGGAGGGATGGAAACCTTAGCACTCACAGTGTCTGAGTGGGCTGCTCAGTAGGACAAAGGATCCCTAAACCCGCCAATCTGTGGTCCCCAATTTCCTCTTGACACCAGCTGAGCAAAGAGACAACTTCTCTCAGGATGTACAACCTGTGCTTATTGCACCCGGCATGAGTTCAACAGAGTAAAAGATGGATAAAGCATGTTTCCTGCTCTCCGGGGCCCCACAGTCTAGTTAAGGAGACAAATTGTGAATAATTAATACAAGTGTGTGAGACTGGTGCTCGAAATGGTATTATTATGAAGTGCTAAGGAATAGAGCCGTACACTCTGTCTGGAGGTCACTGCAGAAGCTTCCAGAAATACAGCCATTAGCTGAGCAGGGGCTTAAAGGCGACGGCACGACATCTGCTGGGTCATTGGCGAAGTGTTATTTGTTTTTATTAATTCTCTTAAGCACATTTTTCATGCAAAATGTGAACAGAAGAATAAATATACCATCCTATTATTGTACACAAGGGACATAAGCTCTTATGTATGACAAGTGCTCTCTTGGAAAGAAGAGGTTATCCCAGTCTGCCGGAGAGCAAAGGGATTAGAAATTAAAATCAGGGCAGCGATGAGTGTGCTACACACAGCCAAGAGGTGGAACACCCATATCCAACAGGAAGTGACCCAGGAAAATCAGGTGAGGAGACTGTTTCATCGTTGAAGGTCCTTCCTCTGTGCCGTGAGAAGATTCACACTTGGCCTATTTCCTAGTTCTTCCCCACCAAGGCTGGGTTGCTTGCTGGATTGACTAGTGTGATTGCAGGTAGGAATCCAACTTGCCTGCTCCCATGTCTCTAAATCTTGCGAGTCTTGCTTCTTTTTTGCATCCTAAATGTTTGGTTGAAATTCAGAACCCCTCGCAGGGAGAGAGGTCTCATATGAGGTTGTTATCAGTCATGTGTACCTTGGAGTGAATGTGTTAAAAAAAAAAAAAACCCAAAAACCCAAGTGTTGGTCATGGACATGAATAGAGACTGTGAAGGTGTTAGCCTTCAATATATGGCAGAAAAGGAAGGATGAAAACTCTGCCTTCCAGGAAAGCTCCAGCGCTGGAAGGCTGTGCTTAGTCTTTGCCTATTTCATCCCGTTGCCTGGAGCCCACTAGTTCCAGAGGCTGTGTGCTGAGTAA